CCCCATGGTAAATTTAAGACCTTCCTTACTCTTTGTTGAGATAGACTCTTGCTGGAAGCTGCCTCCTGCCATCTCTGCTGTCTTCCCAGATGCTGGATGATAAGAAGCCATCAGAAGCCCCAAGTACAGCTTGAGGCCTAGAAGCTCAACCCACACCCTACCCAGGCCCTCATTGGTCTGTATACTCACTTCTCGGCAGCTAGAGTCCTCAAGGGCCAGAGCTGACTCATGAACAGAGACGTGGACACTGTGGGCAGCCACGTCCACACCAGTGGCCTCTGAACAAGGGGCAGGCAGTTGGCTACAGACACTGAGGACTCCTAAGACTGAGCTCTTTGAGGACTGGAGGGATAGACTGTTCTCTGCAAGGGGCCTGGGTGCCATGAGGGCCTGTGGGGACACAAGTGTCTCCTGGCACCCTGGCCCTGTCTTGGAAGAGGAGGCACTCATGGCTGTGGGGCTGGGTTTCTGGACTGTAGGGGATCCACTGTCCTGCATAGGTTTGCTGATGGCCACCGGGCAGGGGAGAAGCTGTGGCATAGGTCCCAGGAGGCCTGCAACAGAACGGAGAGTCACAGTAACTGGATGAACAGAGTGCAAGGTGCCTGGGGAAGGCAAGGCCAAGGAGGTGCTGGCCAGGGGAGGCCAGCAAATGTTCCCCAGCCTGTTGTGCAGGAGAGAAGCCTTGCAGACACTGGTGCTCATCTTCCAGCCTGGGACCCCCTTGCATAGGCCTCCCACATGGTTAGGGAGTTTGCATCCTACGGGTTTACTCTGGTCCCTGCACCTGCCCATGAGTAGCTCTGGGCACATGCCACTGTGGCCATCACAACCCTGGTCCCCTCCCACAGAGCTGCACACACCTATAGGCCTAAACTGAGGTCTCAACTGACTCCACTGGCCCACCTGTTCCTGGAGGACGGGTCTTCTGAACCAGCTCAGAAGGAACTTTCATGCCATCGCTTGGAAACCTTGGTGGTGAAATGGAAAGTCAGTATCTGGGGGCCAATGGGCTACCTGCCCTCTGTCCACCCAGAGTTCTCCCTTGGGAAAGGCAGTCCCACTCACCGGACATGGACATAGTGGTCATGCCAGCTCTCACCCTTTGGTACTGGGAACGCCATTTCTCGAGGCACAGGAATGATGGGCACCTTGGCCTGCCGAGCCCCAGTGACACTGGCAGCTGCAAGAAACAAGGTTACACCTGGGCAAGGGAAGCCTGTCCAACTATCTCTCATAGGCTCAGGTGGGATTCAAGGTTAGGGGCCCACCACTTCTACTCCAGGGCTGCTTTGGCTTCCAGACACAAGCCAGAGCTCAAAGGCCACATAGCACCAGCACTTTAGTGTGTGTGTGTGTGAGATGAGGTCTCGCTTTTGCTGAGGCTGGGCTCAAAATCCTGAGCTCAGGTGACACATCTGCCTCAGGCTCTAAGAGTGCTAGGACTACAGGCATGAGCCATGGCACTGGTTCAGCATCAGCATTTTTTTTTTTTTTTTTGAGATAGAGTCTCATTTTGTCGCCCCCAGTAGAGTGCTATGGCATCACAGCTCACAGCAATCTCAAACTCTTGGGCTTAAGCAATTCTCTTGCCTCAGCCTCCCAAGTAGCTGGGACTAAAGGCCAGCTCCCATAACGCCCGGCTATTTTTTTTTCTGGGACAGGGTCTCATTCTAGCTCAGGCTGGTCTCAAACTAGTGAGCCTAGGCAATCCACCCACCTTGGTCTCTCAGAGTGCTAGGATTACAGGTGTGAGCCACAGAGCCCAGCCAGCACCAGCACTTTTATCAAGTGCCTGCACTGAGGGAGGAACTGGAAACTGACATGGAGGCCTGGAAGCACAGTGGGTGTGGTGGGCCCTTACCAGGGTCAAAGCACAGGTCACTGGTGTAGAGGTTTCTGACCAGGAGGCTGGCACACAACCTGATACTCTTGAGGTGGCTGTAGCTGTGGTTCAGGTAGAGCAGGAGGATGTCCGGCAGGTTGAGCTGTAGGAAGGTCCAGCGGGTGCCAGCAGGGGCCACACCTGACAGGTCTATAGGATGGGAACGCAAGTCAGCACCTACCCTCCTGACAGCCCTCACTCCCATAGCTGTGGCAGCCCCAACAGCTGTCCCCTGGGCCACACAAAAGCCTAACTAGGCCTGCACCGTTGCCCTCTGGGCCCTCGGGCTGCCTTTCCTGGACCATTCACCCCATCTAAATGTCACCTCTTCCAGATGTCCTGGCCTCAAAGACAAAGGGAAACTGAAGCCATGTGGCTGTGGATTTGAACTCTTTGAAGAGACTGGAGAAAGACACCCGGATGACTTGACTGTCCTGTGGGGCAGAGGGACGAAGAGATATAGGAGTGAGAGTGCAGGGCCCCATGCAGCCCCTGGCCTAGGCTCTGTACCTCAGTGGACACGTCCAGGTGGATGACAAAATGCTTGCTGCTCAGGGGCCGAAAAAGGACATACAGGTAGCGCCCAGTCAGTCCCAGGGACTGTGTGCTAATCCTGGGGAGCTGGATGTAGCTGCCCGTAGAAATGGAGGCCCGGATGCGATACACGGTACCCTTCAGGGTCTTGTCCTGGAGAGATGGCAACTCGTGTCTACTGACTGACCCCAGGGTGCTCAGGGAAAGCACCGACCAGGTGACCCTCAGGTTATGAGGTAAGGTCTTCAGTAGCAAAGAAGAGATACTTGGCCCCTGCCACCAGGTCCCCCAGCCCACGCACCGTCACTACGGCCACATCCCCCTCCTTGGCGGATCGCTTCCACTCGTCCACTCTGAAGTGTCTGAAGATGTTGAGAAACGGCTGCTGCCACGCTGAGGGACGGGGCAGCCAAGTGTGAGGCGCCAGCCCAGGAGCTAGACCCTCCGCGGGCCCGGCACGGGGCCCGTGCGGGGCCATTTAGACTCCTGGGCTGGCCAGCGACGCTCCAGCAGAGCGAGGGCCACTGAACCGTGGCCCAGGCGGGGGCTCTGACCTGTGGGCCCTGAGAGGGGCTGCTGCGCGCTCTGGCCACCGTCCCCCATACTTCATCCCACCCCAACCTGGCCGGATCCCTGGACCCCAGAACCCGGTAAAACCGCGCGCGCTGCTACCCTGGGCCATGGTGCCGCCCGCCGCTTGTGCTTCCCGCCTCTGTCGCCGTGCCCCACGCAGCGCACACAGCTCGGCTCCTAGTAACAGCCGCCTAGCAACGGCGCCACTTCCGCCGTCATGGCGGCGCCCAGGCCTACGTGTCCCGAGGTTTCGGACCCTTGGGGCACCAAACTGCACTCCCAAGCTGAGGGCCAACCCAAGGTTCCGCCAGGGCTCCACTCTACCATGACCAGCTGCGGAACAGAGGAGCTTGCTGACATGTATCAGAAGATGCACCCCCATATTTGTGAGGCTGCACTTGGCAGGAGCTCCTCCCCCTATGACTGAGGCCCGCTGCTTTCCAGCCCTCTAGAAGCTCCTGGTCAACACCCAGGTCCTCTAGTGTCAGGCAGGATAGGTCACCCTACCCCAGGCAGAGAGCATTGGCATGCCCCATAAGGTGCCCACAGTGGCTGGGCTCCCACTTGTACCAGCAGGTTGCCACATACTCCAGGAACTATGGGACATCTTTGCCCTGTGTCCTGAAGCCTGGTGGAGTCAAACTGGGATTTGACTTCTGAGATCTAGCCCCAGTTCCAGGGGCCTAAGACCCCCATTTCCTGGCATTGTTTAATGTCTCTGGGCCTTGAGGCCAGATGTGGCACCAGTCAATGCCAACTGGAGAGGAAGGCAAGCAGAGTAAGATAAGGCAGAGTGGGGGCCACGGACTTCCAAGCCAGCCAGGGGCCCCAGCACCTGTCTAGAGGGCAGCTGAAGAAGAAGCTCCCAAGGGCAGGTTTAGCTAGGCCCCAGAGTCCCAGACTGGAGACTAGAACTGGATGTGAGAATCCCCACACACAAAACCTCCCAAGTCAAAGCCACTCTGAAAGGGCAGTTTCTCAACTTTATTAGACTGGAGCTCCTCCCTGCCAGCCCCAGGGGCAAATCCCCAGGCACAGTTAGCAGGGTTGAGGTCAGACAGGCTAGACTCCTGGCCCCTGGCAGCTTGGGAAAGCTAGGCCAAGGAGACCACAGGTACAAAAGTCTAAGTGCTGGCACTTCAGGTGTGGCTGGCACCCAGCCAGGCTGCAGTAGGTGGATGGGGCACCAAGGTCCTCTTCTGGTAAAGGATCCACCGAGGCAGCATTCCTTCCCAGGCAGCCACTATGAACAATTGGTGATTCTAGCCAGGAACTGCTGCGCCCACCACTCATCCAGGTCGATAGGCACAAAGTCTGTAGACAGAGCAGAAGGCTGGGCAATGAGGCTGCCTCCCAGACTGGTCAGCCTCTCCTCTCAAGCTGTCTCCACCAGCCCCTCACACGGACTTCAAGTGTAACAGGTACTGGGGAAAAAGGGATCTGGCTAAAGAGTCTCCTCCCCAATCCCCTGGGGCTGTAACCTGGCAGGGGCCCAGGGACTAGAGGGCATTACTTGGGTGGGGAGACAGGGGCTAGGAAGAAATTTCCCAGGGGACAGGGTTGGGGGCTCACTCTGTAGCCGGGGATTAGGGGTCCTCTCCACGTACTGCACAGGCCTCGGCCCATTCTCACCGCCTGGGCCACCATCCAGCTGCTGTTTCACCTGCTGCCAGGCTGTGGGGGTAGGGCACTCAGGCTGAGCCTGGTCTCTGGCACCCCATCCCCCACCCCAGGGCCTGATGGTCATGCTGGATTCCAGCCCAGCACAGGGAATGGGCAGCCTGCTCAATGGTCAGAGACAAATCGGCAGAGAGCCAAGGAAAAAAGCCCAGCCCTCTGGCTACTGGGGGTCAAACTGCAGTGGGAGGAGGACCTGGGGCCATCCCAGGTCCATACTGAGACCCAATGGCTCTGGCCACACTCTCTGGCCCCCCTCACTACCTTCGGACACAAAGCGGACGTTCTCCTCGTGGGCCAGTGTGTAGGTCTCCTGGGTCCCCTCAAGAGATGGGGACGCGGCAGGGGGCCGCCGGCCATTCACACGATTGAACACAAGCCTTGGCCCCGGACTGCAGGATGGGGAGGAGACGGACATGATCAGCGCCCGTCCCCGTCCTAGGTACTGCCTGGCAGACTTCAGAACCAGCCCCGGGCCACGACAACCATCCCCAGACCAGGCCAGCCTAGGCACTTCCGGAATCTGCAGCAGCCAGGGCCCAGACCTCTCTCCTGCAGGCCCCAAGCTGCCAGCAGCTCAGCTCACACCTGCTGCCCTCAGCCCTGAAGGAGGTGAGTGACGGTTGGATGGAGGACCCATCAAGCGCCCGTCCAAGGACCATGCAGCCCATGCTGCCATCTTCCTCCCACCCTACCCCCCAATCGGCCAGACCTCCAGTAACCCCAATTCTGGCTTCAGCTATCCAACCCCACCCCACCTACTGAGCATAGTTCTTGGCCATGTTCTGGCCCCTTGGAACCTTGTCTGCCCAATGACACTCCCCTCCATGGAAAATCAGACCCAAACAAGAACAGGGCAACTGTTGTTCCTCCCTCCCCCCAGCTGCCCCCTGGTCCCTGGGGGTGATCACCACATGCCAGGATGGGTAGTCCCTGAGTGGGGAGAGTGTGCCTGCAACCCCAGCCCACTCCCTATGGGCCTAAGACAAGGGGCAATGCAAAATGAGAGGGCCCCCCCGACATCACTGCACATTATATCCAGGAGACCGCTAGGCCTGTCTCTGCCAAGTGGGCCCAGGGAAGGGATGGGTAACCCTAGCTTGCAGCAGCTGGCCAAACCCTACACAAAGCCTGGGATGGGGGCCGTGGAAGAAATGGGGCCCACACCTACAGCAGGAGGTGGGAGCCGGGAGTCCTGGGCTGCGCCTGCCACTCCACCAGGCACTCGCGGTCCCGGCCGGCCTGCTCGCCTTCCTGGGCTCAGGTGCCCCACCGCCGCTCTGGGTTCCTCCTCAGGTGAGAGGGGCACTAAAACAAAGAGGAGTGTCTTGAGGGGCGCAGGGTCCCGCCAGCCCCAGGGCCGGCAGGGTCTGGTGGCCACAGAAAATCTTAACTGTGCAGGTGGAGGTAGGAGTGGGGCAGGGGTTCTTCCCAGACTCGTGCACTATCTGTGTTTTCCCACAAACCAGAAGGAATAAGGAAGATCTGTCCACTTGTAAAGACCCCTAGCCTGCAACCACTCCCACCCCAGAAGGTAAAAAATTCTGGGTAAAGCTAGGAGGCTGGCTATCAACTTTAAAAGAGAAGGAAATAGCAGCCAGGTACTATGAATTGCAAAACCAGTGGGGGTGCCCCAAGGCTGAGATAGGGTCCCAGTATACACTCTCCTATCCTGCCCACCCCCACCCCCCAGGGTACAGTTACATAAGGCCACTGCTTTCTGGGAGAAAGGGCACCAGCCCCAGTGTGTACCTGTGGACAATGGCCAACCTGTACCCACTCCCAGGCACGCTGCTCCACAGGCAATCCCAGCTCATGGTACCAACATGGGTGTCCTCTCACCCTGCCACCACCCACCTGGCCAGCCTAGGAACTGAGGTTTGGAGGCAGGTACCTAGGCTAATGGCAGCACCAGGTTTAACAGTAGTCCTGATGGCAGAGCACTGGCCCCCATAGGCCTCTTGGACCTGTCCTTCTGGGCCATAGGCCCAGCCTTTCACAGCTGCCACTGCCCTTTCTCCAGTGTGGGGCTCAGCCCTTCCTGCAGTGGTCCCTATTTATCCCCCATTCAACAGTGAGTATTGTCTCAGTTTATCTTTTTCTTTTAGAGATGCAATCTCACTTTTGTTGCTCTTGATAGAGTGTAGTGACATCATAGCTCACAGCAACCTCAAACTCCTGGGCTCAAGTGATCCTCTTGCTTTAGCCTCCCAAGTAGCTGGGACTATAGGCGCCTACCATAGCACCTGGCTATTTTTAGAGACAGGATCTCACTCTTGGCTCAGGCTGGTCTTGAACTCTTGAGTTCAAGCAATCTACCCATCTCAGCCTTCCAGAGTGCTAGGATTACAGATGCGAGGCATCATGCCCTGGCCTTTTTTTTATTTTGAGATTGAGTCTCATTCCATCTCCCTGAGTAGAGCACCCAGCATCATAGCTCACAGCAATCTCAAACTCTTGGGCTCAAGTGATCTTCTTGCCTCAGCTTCCTGAGTAGCTGGGACTACAGGCACCCACTACAACACCTGGCTAGTTTTTCTATTTTTAGTAGTGATGAGGTCTCCCTCTTGCTCATGCTAGTCTTGAACTCCTGGCCTCAATTGATCCCCTAGCCTCAAGGGATCCCCCACCCTCAACCTCCCAGAGTGCTAAGATTACAAGTATTAACCACCTACCCAGCTCTCTCAGTTTATCTTTTTTTTGAGACAGAGTCTCACTGTGTTGCCCTGGGTAGAGTATCATGGTGTCACAGCTCACAGCACCTTCAAATTCTTGAGCTTAAGTGATTCTCTTGCCTCAGCCTCCCAAGTAGCTGGGACTACAGGCACCCGCCACAATGCCTGGCTATTTTTTGGTTCTAATTTTCATTGTTTGGCAGGCCCGGGCTGGATTCAAACCCACCAGCTCCAGTGTATATGGCTGGCACCCTAGCCGCTGAGCTACAGGTGCTGAGCCCCCTCAGTTTATGTTAATGCCTCCCCAGTGTGTCTCCCACCAGGAGGGAGAACTTAAAGAAAGGGCAAAGGAGGTAGATGGGAAGGGGAGGATTGTAGAGAGTGGCCCTCCTACAAGGAGGTAGAGGGACAGGGCTGCTCCACAGCAGCCACATCTCCCAACCCAGGGGGCACTCAGGAAGTGGGAGGAGGGTGGGTACCACCTAGTGAGCTCCTCTGGAGCACACCCTGCCTACCCATGGCTTCTCATGCCCAGTAAGAGAAGTTAACCCCCCATAGGCTCCTACATGTGCTACCTGGCTAGCTAAGGCAGACTTACATGGCTACACCAGGATTGGCCTCCTGGGGGCTTTAAGGGCTTTGACAAGAACACTGAGACCCCTGCCTACTGAGGGCTCCTGCAAGCACACCTCTCCTTCCTGATAGTCCCTCAACCCTACTACCATAGACTTCCCCTTGCCCTCTCCAGCAATGGGACCTGGGAGAGGAAGATGTGTTTCCCCAGGTAAGAAGGTTTGCGGCCCCTCCATGATTCCTGCCTGGATGACTGTGTGCCTTGGTTTCCTCCCCTGGGAGGCAGGACTGCCAGGGACACTCTGAGACCCGCACACCTTACTCCCCAGAGCACACCTTGGTCTACTTGGTCACATCTAGTCCCTTACTAGGTTCCTGCAGGAATCCCCCCAGTCCATTGGAGTCTCCAACACCCAACCCCACCCACAGCACCCAACCTCTCCCAGCATCTGAAGCCCATAACCTGAGTGACTGGCAGGGGACAAGCTGAGGGTGACCCAGCAATACACACCTCCAACTTTAGCTACTCTGAACTCCTGGCCACCCTTGGAGGTTTTCTGTCCTCAGCCTCAGCTTGTAAAACCCCAGTTTCAATGTCCCTATGTCCTCTCCAGCATGGCTACCATTACTCTGATTCCCCTTGTGGTGTGCTCCACCATGGCTGGAGCCCAGGTGCCCTTAGGCCTGTGTGGGGTTAGATTAAAGTCCATGGGCCTAGAAAGACACGCTATAAATGAAAACAACAGGGATGGGTTGGGTCAAGGAAGTAGAAAGTTAAGCCTGAGGGGTGTCTAAACTCCAGGTTTTGGTCACATGGAGGTCAAAGTGGTCAGGATGGAATCTCCTGTGATGTCAGGAGGGCACTGGGCAGACCTGCTGCTCAGTTAAGGTAAGGTGCAGGCCCCAGAGTCAGCGGGTGTGGAGGGGCTCACAGCCCCAGAGGGTGTGGGGTGGCCAGGCCAAAAGGTAATGTACTCAATTCTCCCCCACTGAGCTAGGAGACCTTGAGGGCCGACGCTCTGGGCATCTCTCCACAAACCTTGACCTGGGTGTGCCCCAAAGGGACGCAAGTGCGTAGCCCAAGGTCGCTCAGGGCGTCTGTGATACAGGAGCTAGTCGGCGAGTCCCCACCCGCAGGGTGCCCCATGCTGCCAGGAGGGGTCCACACCACTGGGCCCAGCCAGGTGAGGCGGAAGCGCAGAGGGGCGCGCGCCGCCAGCTGCCTAGCGTACCCCGCCTCCTCGGCGCCGCCCCGCCCGAAACATGTGGCTTGGCCTCACCAACCTTTCCCCAAGGTCACCCTTGCTGCGCTGAGGCGGCCTGGAGTGCGGGGAGGGCCGGGCTTGGGCTGCGCGCGTCTCACCTCGACAGGGGCCAGGGTCCCGGCGGCTGCGCGAAAGGCTGCTCCTGCGGGGGTGGCGCGGTGGGCGGCGTGGGTTGCCGGCATTTCAGAAGCTCGCCAAGCCTGCTCTCTACCTGCTGCTGTGTGGGACCTGCAGGCGCCGGGAGATCGCATTAATTGCCGCGGCGCTCCTGGGCGCGCGGACCGGGACGATCGCGGCGTCGCGCCCCCGTCCCGCCGTGCCTACCTGTGCGACGCTGCGCGACCAGCTTGCTGGGCCCCTTGGTGAGGGTATACATGGCGCGCTGGCTTCCGCGTGTAGGGGACGCGCCCCGTGCTTGCTGGGACACAAGCCCGAAGCCAGCTCCGGCACTCTCTGCCTGGGGTCGCATTTAACTCACGGCCGGCGCTGCGGGGAGGGGGCGGGTCTGCTACACGCCCCCAGCCCTTAAAGGGCCCGCACGGTTCCGGCAGACCCGGGGGCACTCGGCAGAGGCGGCGCTCTGGCCCTTTGGAAAATTGGCCCGGGCGGGCGCCGTGCGGCAGGGGTGGAGCCGGCAGAAGCCACCGCTCCACCCCACGTGGCCTTAAGCCAAGGTCGGTGAACGCCGTGGGGCCGGGGAAGGCCAGCCGCTGCCTGAGGCCAGGTAAGACTGTGGGAGAGGCTCTGGCCCAAGGGCCCTGAGGGTGACCGGCGCTGTGACAGCCCTCCCACGTAAGGGAGCAGTTAACCCCCATAATCCCAGGCAGTCGGTAGAGCAGTGATTTCTGCCCACGACCTCGCAGGACCAGTGCCCCAGAGACAATGTGTGACCTTCTGGAGCTAGAGGCCCAGAAGCCTGGACTCATCAGGGTAGAGGTAGAAACCCAGGGCTTCCATCTCTCACTGCTCTTTGCCTCAGGGTTCCTTCCAGCCCAAGGGCTGCTCAGAGACCAGGTCCCAGGAGACCTCTGTGCAGAGCTGCCCCTGGCCATCTACAGGGAGAGAGACACAGGTCTCCCCACCACCACACAAAAGTGGGTTTGAGCCTGGGGCTTTGTGGGCATAGCCCAGAGTTCACCCAGTAATGTCCCCACCTGAGGAGACATGCACCAGGCTTAGAGGGTGCTGCCACCGGGGCCTTAGTCCTGTTCTCCTGGCTGTGCCAGCGCCAGGGACTGGGGGTGTCCAGTGACAATAAGCATGTCTAGAGGCCAACACAAGGAGCTCCTCACACCCTGCTGCTCCTCCCTCCTGGGCCTATCCTGTGAGCCTGTGTGGCTGCCAAGCCTGCTGGGGACCCTCACGGAAGCTTCTGATCCAGGAGTAGCCAGACTGGCCCTCCTCTCACTTAGCCCCTTGGCTCTGTATCCTGTCCTCAGCAAGGCTGAAGGACACAGCCCTACCTACCTTCCCCAGCTGCCTCTTGTAAAGGGCTGGGCTAGACCTGTGAGAAGACCAAGGCCTGAGAGGGAAGGGGCTGCCCAGACCCCAGATTAGCCATGTCCAGGGAATCTAGGTCTGAGCATGGGCCCTGTGAAGAACCTTCACTGGCCAAGATGATCCCTCACTGACTGCCCCCCTCCACTCCCATTGCTCCCCCACCAACCAGAGCATGTCCTTTAGGGCCAGTGTGGTCCCAGTTTGTACAGCCCAAGGCATGCCCTGGCTTCTCCCAGTGCCCTTGCTTAGGATCACACAGGCCAGCAGCAGACAGGGTGCTGGGGGGATCTGCAATGAGAGGGCGTGTGTTCTAGCGGAAGGATGGGGCAGGACCAGGAAGGTGAGTTAGAATGGGAGAAGTGGGGAAGGAAGGTCCTGGTGTGGGGATGAGGTGGATGGTTCAGAGCCCAGCAGCACCTGGCCTTTACTTAAACCACTAGTGGTCAAGCCCAAACATCTAGCCCCAATATGCCACATCTGAAGTCAAAAGTTGGACCCAGAAGCCCTCAAAAGGGCTCCCAAAGCCAGGAGTGAAGGGAGGATCGCTTGAAGCCAGGATTCAAGGCTGCAGTGAGCTGTGATTGAGCCATTGCACTTAAGACAGAGCAAGACACCATCTCAAAAAAAAAAAAAAAAAGTGGTTAAAGAAATGTCCTGACAGGCCCAAAGGGCAGGGGTGGGTGGTCCCTAAGGTAGCAGGCCCAGTTAAAGGCAGCCCTGGAGGTGGGCTGGGCTCCCCTACTGAGGCCTGGTCAGGCCCATCTTCCCTGGAATTCAGGGTCTGGGTGTCCTCCTAGTTGAAGAGGAACCCTGCTGGGCAAGGTAGGTGCTCCTCCAGGCCTGCCCCTGACATAGAAAACCTTTGCTGGGGAGGCTCCCAGAGGCAGCATCCAGCAGCACTCCCTGTTGTCAGAGAGACAGCAGGTCCTGGGTGGGCTCAGGACCCAGAAGCAGTAAGAAAGACCTCACAGGGTAGGGCCTGTGTCTCAAGGAGTAGGGCGCCGGCCCCATATACCGGAGGTGGTGGGTTCAAACCAGCCCTGGCCAAAAACTGGAAAAAAAAAAATAGCTGGGTGTTGTGGTGGGCACCTGTAGTCCTAGCTACTTGGGAGGCTGAGGCAAGAGAATTGCTTGAGCCCAAGAGTTAGAGGTTGCTGTGAGCTATGATGCCACAGCATTCCACCAAGGGTGACAAAGTAAGCCTCTGCCACATAAAAAACAAACAAACAAACAAACAAACAAAAACCCTGGCTCGCACCTGTGGCTCAAGTGGCTAAGGCGCTAGCCACATACACCTAAGGTGGTGGGTTCGAATC